AAAGCCTTACGACTCGTCGAGAATGAGATTACATGCAAATGTAGTTGCTTTACCCGAGACTCCTTCCTGTCTGCCTGCATTATGACTGTTTTACTAATAAAATACCGTAGTTCCTGTCTATGCCAGCTTTCATTTTGATTTATTATAAATTTTTTTTTACATAATTAAATCTATTACAACACTCAACGAACAAGAATCGTTTTCTTTCGAATATATAAGTATTTTAAAAACATTCGAAATTTTATAAGTAAACGAAGAATATTCGAAAAATCTTTCTCACAACTTTTCGTATTTCAGTGACACTTTCGACTAATTTTCTTTCTCTTTCTATGTTTCTCTCGTATTTTATTTTACACAGAATTTTATGAAACATTTCTAAACTTCCGGTTTATTTGAAAACTTTTCAATCATTTCAGTATCAGTGATAATTTTATTTATTATTAGATATCGAAATACGTAATTATTTCGTCATGGTGTACGATACCGAATTTAAAGAGAATAATTTCTGTTTTGTAGGTATTTGTTGATGGTAATGCCCTTTTATTTGCTGGGCATGAGATCGAATGATATCCTATACAATCCAAATCCATTATATCACACAGCTGGTGGAATGCTCGGAGTAGGTTTCGCGATTCTCAAAGGTATACCATCCGTGTTAAGGACCAAGTTTTCAGTGACGGCTTATTGGACAGATTGCATCAAATATAATTGTACCGTAGGTGGTTTACAAAATTTTTACACATTATGTTATTGTAGCGTTCTCAATGAAATTAATGCTTTCTGGAGTATAATTCATTCTTTTCTTTATTGCAATGTTGATTAGTTTTTCTTTTTTCTTTAAATACAGAAGTAATAGGCGTAAAGCTATTAAGTTATGTGTTCAAATTATTTTGAGTATTTTAATCATTAATTAATTACAACTTTGTAAGTGAATTTTAATGTTGTTAATGCATTTGTTGTTATTGTACTATATGGTACGGTACTTAAGCGCTGTACAATTTTCAAAAGTAAGGACACTATTCTATCAAACTATTTTCTTGTTCAACAGGCAGCACAATATGTCGGTGAAATGTGCCGTTATTTGTTGAATGCACCATCTAGACCAGAAGATAACGCGCATCGTTTAAGACTAATGTTTGGAAATGGTATGAGGCCTCAGATTTGGAACGAGTTTGTTAAACGTTTCAATATTAAACGAGTTTCCGAGTTTTATGGATCTAGCGAAGGAAATGCTAATATTGGTAAGAATATTCATATACGTACATACATACACTACCGGCCAAAAGTTTGGAATCACCTCCCACTTTTCATCAATATTAAATCTGCTGCTATTTTTTTAAAGATTTGAAGTTTATCTCAATTCCACTTTTATCAATTTATCTCATATCAATTGATTCGAATGATAAAAAATTTTCAAAGTCGCTGACCTTTTTTGTGTCAATTTTTGTGTAAATTGTAATGCTCAGTGATTCCAAACTTTTGGCCGGTAGTGTATGTCTAAAGAACTAAACAAATATTTTGTGTGTAAATTTTTGTGTAAATTGCAATGCTCAGTGATTCCAAACTTTTGGCCGGTAGTGTATGTCTAAAGAACTAAACAAATATTTTGTATAATAAAGGAACTTCTTTATTGCAACACTAAATTTTATTTTATCGAAGTATTTAAATTAATTTCATTATTTTAACAATATTGGACTTTTGCAGTAATTTTGTTGCTTTAGTATTGCAGAGAATTTTATTTACTCGTGACAATCAAATCTTGTATCCATTTTAATTACTTTTTTTATATCTGTGTACGATTTGTAATATATTTTTCTATTACAACAAATTGAAATGTTTACAAATTTTATTTCATAATACGGTCACGGTATATCGAGGTATTCTAAACAATTTTTATTTTTATGTTACAGCTAATTTCGATGGCCGAATTGGAGCCGTCGGTTTTGTACCATTAATTGTACCGCGAGTATTTCATCCTTTAGCAATTATTCGAGTAAACAATGAGACATACGAACCTGTTCGAGGATCGAATGGTTTGTGCATAAGAGCAGAAACAAGTAAGAATTTATGAACTTGAAAAGTATTTCATGAAAAAAAAAAAAAAAGAATGTTTTAATTTATAGTACCGTGTATGATGGAATTTAGCATCCACGTACTCATAATTAAAATATTAATTTAAAGAAGAAACAATTTCTATATACAAAGAAAAAATAATTCTTTTCAACATAGATGAGCCAGGAATGTTCATAGGATTAATAAAAGAAGGAGACGCGTTGAGAGAGTTCAATGGATATTTAGATAAAGAAGCGTCGAAAAGGAAGATAATACAAGATGTATTTGCTAAAGGCGATAAGGCTTTCTTGACAGGTAAGTTGTGTTTAAAAGCTGATAAAAATTACAGTCATAAATTGTAAATATATATACGAAATTCTATCTCAATTAAATTAAACATTTACCTTATGATTCTTGTTTAGGTGACATTTTAGTAGAGGATGAATATGGTTACATTTTCTTCAAAGACAGAGTAGGCGACACATTTAGATGGAAAGGAGAAAATGTTGCCACTGCTGAAGTGGAAGGTGTTATTAGTATTATTGCAGGAAAAAGGGATACCACCGTTTAC